GACGGGGGTTCGCCTGGCACCCCGAGCAGGAACCTGTTTCCATTCCCCCCCATCACTTGGGTCCCCTCTTTCTACCTGGTGGCAAGAAGGCAGGGGATCCTCTGCTTCTCGTGGAGCCTCCATCTGCTGCCTTTGCCTCAGGGATGGCAGGGTGCGGCTCCACCAATCTATCTCCCTCAAATCTATCTCCCTGCCATGTCCCCAGGTGGGGTGGCAGCAGGACACAGCCAAGGGCACACCCAACAAGAGGCTACATGTGTCCTTTGGCCCTTGGATTTGCCCAGCATCCTAGCCATGCTGGCCGCTTTCACATGCTACCCCGCACTGCTGTCCCCAACCCTCACCCTGGCGGGGGGGCACCAGTCTCTGCCAGGGGAAAGAGATGGTGTTTTGTTCCCCAGCTCGCTCCTGCCCAGCGGCTGATCGTGCACACACAGGACCCTTTCAGCATGGGGAGAGGAGGGTGATGGCATCTGGGAATGCAGGGAACAAAGGGCCCCATTGATGCTGGCTGCAGCCCCACGGTTTTCTGTGAGCTGGGGCAAGGCCAGGGTACAGGCACAGCTGTGCACTGAGCTGGGGCAGCAGCAATGCATGAGCTAAACCTCCCCCAGCCAGGCTGCATGGGAAGCCTTGCTGCCTGCCCGGAGGCGTCTGAAGCTGGGGGAGAGAGGGGAGAGTGGGATTTGGGCTAGAGTCCCATTTAGGAAGAGCAGTGAGGGTCCTGGCTGTGGGTAGGTAACAGCCTGCCAGCTCTCAGCCCGCCCTGCTGCTCATGGGCACCTAGCCGTGCCTGAAATCTGCCTTTCCGGTAGATCTGCTGCAAATGGGAGTGGTGCTGGGGTTTGAGGGTGGGTCCGGGAGCATCCCTCTGTGGCCTCGCTCCCGGGAGGCTCCTGAGCAGAGCTCCTAGGGGGAATTTCTAAGAGAAGCAATATTTGAATTGATAATTTTTGGGTAGCTGCTGTGGAAACATGCATCTAAGGGCAGTGTTGATTTGATCAGGGGCAGAAGGACACCAGCTGATGACCTCCCCACACACCAGCACTGTGCAAACTGTTAACGACCCTGTGGCAAATGGCACACAGCAACCCACAGAGCATGTGGACAGCACATATCGACTGCTGCGATAGTCGAGTGCACCCTTGTGCCTAAACAAGACCATCCTATTTCACACAGGGCTCTCTCCAAGTGAGAGAATTGCACAGCCTGTGTGGCCCTGGATGTGCTTGTACCATGTGTGTTGCCTGATGCTAACCAGCGAGCTTTGCTCGAGCCGTGCCGATTAATTTTGCTGTGGTCGTGCTGTAGGTGCTACAATTAGGAGATGTGGCAGAGGCTGTCACGGTGTAGGCTGAGTATTAAAGGGCAGCAGCACATCACCAAACACGAGCAAGCGGCTCCTACAAGACCCCAGCTTTCCTCTGGGTGGCTGGACGAGAAATAGAGGTTTTAAGGGCTCCCCAGCTGGGAACAGATTTTGAAGTCAGGGTTATGAACCTCATGGCTGGGGTGGGAAGGAGGGGGGGGCAGAGACCTGCGGGGGCTGCTGGCCTACACGTGGGGCTGGCGAGCGCTGCTCCTCTGGGACCTTCTCCTCTGCAGCCTCCCCTTCCCTGTTTTGTTTTTTTTTTTGGCCGGGGTGGGGGGTGGGAAAGCCAGCACAACAAATGGACAGACAGACTTATATCTTGTTCAGAATGTTCTTAATTTTAATTTATTTTCTTAAATTTTTATAAAATACGTCTTGTAAGATAAGTCTCTAAAAACTTGCTCCTTTTTATTGTTTGTTAACAAGTTGAAATTCTAGATCAGAAATGAAGGAAACACTTTCAGTTGATTAACTCTTTTTTTGCATGTGTGTGTGTGCGTGTGTGTGTGTGTGTTTGGGGTCTGGGGACAAGGGTGGGAAGGAGGATCTGGTTATTTTTTGTTAAATGGATACAAAAAAAAACCCCAGCAAACCCCCAAGAGAGATAGCGTTGATGTGAATTTCCAGATCTTGACTGGTTTCTCCCCACCCTGCCATCCCTCCTGGCATCTCCCCCCTCCCCAGCCCATGTGCGTTGGTAGCCTGGCCAACCTATTTCAGCATTCCTGGCGGCAAGGATCCTCCGAACGCTCTGCTCAGCAGATCTGCTCCTTTATCCTTGCCCCTGCTGAAACCAGCACTTAAAAAAAATATAATAATAATACAGACAAAAAAAAAAAAAATCCATGCAAGATGGAGCTACAGTTTGCCATTGAAAGTAGTTTCTCCAATAAATAAACACTAAGATTAGCATTAAGGAGAGGCAGGGAAGAGCAAAAAAAAAATACCAGTTGGCAGGGAGGACTGGAAACAGCATTTTGGTGGGTCTGGCTGGACCCATGCTACCCAGCCAGAGGGCTTTCCTCCAGCTGCCATGGAGAGTGATCATGGGGGAGAGGTCGTCTCCACCGAACCCCTTGCCCTGCTGCCCCACTCCATGAGAAAAGACTGAACTGGTACCAGAAAGGATCTAGTTTGCAGAGACGGGCTGTGTTTCCGCCCCATAACCCCCAAACCGCTGCCTTTCCTTCCCTCCTCAACTCCTTCATGGGTTTCTGCTGGAAGCGAGATGCTGCCAGTCCCTCCCACCCTGGCAGACACAAGACAGTTGTCCTGACTTGCAGGAAACGCAGGGAAAAAAAGTGAGAGGAAGAGGGGGACAGAATGAGGGAAAGTTACATTTGACATGGGTGAGAAACAAATCAAGCTCTCCGACGCAGCGGAGGTTAGAGAAGCAGACGTCACCCCAGAGAAGAGCACCATTGTGAAGGGACGAGAGCGTGCGGCGAGCGTGGCGCTTGCAGGGCGGGCGAAGGCACGCAGTCCAGAGGGTCATCCCCTGCCTACGGAGGGATGGCTCTGGCTTTACACTCCCGGGGCACGGCGCAGAGATGTCCCCTCTCGGTCAAACCTATCTGCCGCCTCTCTGCTGCCTGGAGGGTAAAGCCAAGAGTCCCCCTTGTCTACAGAGACACCAAACTCCTTCAGGCTTTAATAGGGGCAGCTGGGTTAGGGCTGTATCAGCATTGGGGTCAGCACTCTCTTCTCCACAACGGGAAGATCCTTGCCCTGAACTCCCTTTGCTTTGGCTGCAGCAGGCAATTTGGGGTAAATTCATCTTTCTTTGCTAAGGGGGGAAAAAAAAAAAAATCCTTCTCTTATTCTCCATCCATGGGTGGTGACAGCAGGCAGCTCCAGGAGAGTCTCTAGCAATAGTACCAGGACTGGGCCAACTTCCTTTTCTCTCTAGGTAGCCTCTTGCTACTCATGGAGCAACCTACACGGATTTCCTCCTCCCAGGAACATGAAGGCTTTTGCTCATCCCTAGGCAACATCGGGACACTGGAGTAAGTCCCTCTTCTTCTCTGGCTAGTTTTGATGGCCTTGGCCCTAGAGCGAACTGTTTACAGATGAGCAGAGAGAGAAAAGTGCATGAAGAGGTGTCCATTGGTGGGAAGCTCTCCTTCCTGGTCATGCTCAGCACGATGGATACAAGGGAGGAAGAGGAGGGGAGTCAGCAGCGAAGGCAAAGTTAACGCAGGAGACGTGGTGTCAGGTGGCTGCAGTGTTAAAGCCTCGGGGTTAGAGAAGAGTGTTTGGTCTGGCTGGGCTCCACTGTGCGAACTAGAACTTGGTGCCTCGGCCCATCAGCTTGAGGACGGCAAAGTTGTAGGTGGCAGCAATCATGAAGGTGAGCTGTGGGTGGGAAGAGAGTGAGCGAGGGGGGAGGAGGAGAAACAAAGCTCCCGCAGGCGGGGTAGGACTCCTTGCTGGGGTACGCCCGATGTGGCATCCCCCAGCCCAGCACCCCAACAGAGCAGTTGCCCCATGGAGCCCCGTGGCCCCACTGCACCAGAAAGACACTGCAGTGTCTCGTAACTGGTGTAAAGAGGAGAGCTGGGGAAAGGCAGGGGACTCAGTGCACGGGCAGCAGGGACCCTTCCCCGGTGGTCTCCTAAAGCCTCTCCAGATCCCCTCCAGCAGCCACCTCTACCTTCTTATGGCCTGAATTCGCCATCTGCACTTATGTGCCAGAAAATGACACAAGCACAGGCTCTGTCACGTCCATGCCCACCACCTCTGTTGTCCTCTGCTCCTACATCCTCACCAGGCGGAGGAGAATGGCTGGGCAGGGGAAGCACCAACTCACCAGTGAGACCAGTGTGGCGGCCGCCCCCACAAAGGCTGCGATGAAGAGGTGGAAAGTCATCTGGAACTGCAAGGGAAGAGGGGGTGAGCTCCTGGGGTCCCGCATGCCGGCTGGAGAGGCCAGTGCTGAGGCCACCCACTGAGGGGAGCACATGTGGGGTGACGGGAGGTGCTCACCTCGCTGGTCTTGCAGATGGAGAGCAGGTTGGAGCCGCACACCTTGCCAGGGAAAGCGTTCCAGGGCAGGACGCCTGGTGAGATGCGAAGAGCACGCCTGGTGAGATGCGGAGAGCCAGGTGAGCCGGGCACGGCCGCCAGCCAGCTGCCTTGCTCAGCCTCCTGCAGCCACATGTGTCATGCACACCCTGGCATTTTAGGGCTCTTCAGCACTTGCCCCTGCTTTATCCCAGCCTTATCCACCTGGACCCTCTCCTTCATTGCCTCTCCTCCGCCCTGAGCCCTGGCTCCTGGACAGCGAACCGGGTACTCACCGTACATCCTGGCGTCTGCACACAGGGTGCCGATGCTGGCCGAGGTCTTGCTGGGGTTGGCAATGGACTGGCAGGTGGTCCAAGTGTTAAAGTAGATGTAGACAGGCACCGCGGAGCAGGCAAAGACCAGGAGCCAGATGATGGTCAGGACATAGGTAATGCCCACAAACTGCAAGGGGCAGGACAAACCGGGGCAGAGCCATGGTTACCGAGTGGCCAGGGACAAGGACAAGGGAGCGCGAGGGTCCCCAGGCAGGAGAGGATGTGGGGCAGGCAGGGGACTGAGATGCTGCCTGCATCCAGCTCCACACTGCCCACCAAACCCGGCATATCCCCAAGCAGCCAGCACGGAGCAACAGCCCGAGCTGGGCTCACAGGGCCAGCATCAGCCCCAGGCTCGTGGCCACCTATGCGTGCATGGGGGTGACTGGCAGCAGCAGCAGGATGGCTGCCGCATCCCGTACAGGGGGGAAAAAACGTGGCCGTGGCCAAGCAGGGTTTGGCCTCTGCGGGAGGGCAGCTGCAAAACCTGCCTTGGCGTGCAAATGTGGCTTTCCTGCCCGCCCTCCGTGGTGCCACCCCGACTGGCCCCCAAGGGAACCGCAGCCATCCCCCTCCACTCCCCCAGGCCATGGGCTCCCCTTGCCAGCACTTTGTTATGGTCCCCAAGCACAGTGGAGAGGACAACCCCAGGGGCACCAGGTGCTGGAGAGCCTCGGGCTGCCAGCACCGCGGGGATGCTCATGGCTCTCCTCGCTGATGCTTAAACATGAAGTGGTTTCATTACATGTGGCCATTTGGGCTGCTTTGGTCTCCAGGGGCCACGGCAGGCCTGGGGGAGGGCAGCTGGGCTGCGCTTCCCTTTGGGATACCCCGAAACCCGGACGGCCGCCGTCTCCTGCCCTTCGGCCACGCCAAGCATGGCGAACCCGCTGCGGGCGCGCGAAGGGGTGCCAAACCCCGGTTAAGATCACCTTGTCAGGATGTCCTAGCCACTTTCCCAAACACTGACACAGCCGCTGC